CCTGTGTGTGTGCATCATGTTTACTGTACGTGTAGGTGTCCCTGTGTGTGTGCATCATGTTTACGTGTAGTTGTCCCTGTGTGTGTGCATCATGTTTACTGTACGTGTGCCTGTGTGTATGTATCATGTTTACTGTATGTGTAGATGTCCCTGTGTGTGTGCATCACGTTTACTGTACGTGTAGATGTCCCTGTGTGTGTGCATCACGTTTACTGTACGTGTAGATGTCCCTGTGTGTGTATATCACGTTTACTGTACGTGTAGGTGTCCCTGTGTGTGTGTATCATGTTTACTGTACGTGTAGGCGTCCCTGTGTGTGTGCATTACGTTTACTGTACGTGTAGGTGTCCCTGTGTGTGTGCATCATGTTTACTGTACGTGTGCCTGTGTGTGTGTATCATGTTTACTGTACGTGTAGTTGTCCCTGTGTGTGTGCATCATGTTTATATTCATGAAGTCAAAGTATTAAAAGCTTAAATTGTTTTCATCACCTTTAAGACAGTTGTCTTTGTGTCTCTTGTTAGTCAAATTACAACCCTTGAGAGTTTCCAATCTCAAAATGCTGATGCCTCTGCCCAGAAATCTGTGTGCCCACCTACCTCCATGTCTAGTGTCTTCCTGGAGCTCATGCTGGACACTCCTCACTGCCCTCTGCTTTGAGGGACCAGCACTGAGGCCGAACTGTTGATTTCGGAGGGAGGGTGTGGGTCTTGCTTTTCGTTTTCGGAACCAGACAAGCCGCCAGGATTCAGTAAGAGCATCCTGGCAGTCAGAAATGCGTGTTTTCTTTAGCTTGTTTTGATATTGCACTTTGTCATAGTGGTTTAGTCTGAGCTGTAAAATATGCTTTGCAGCTAAAATATCTGTGAATATTTTAGTAAGAGGAAACAGGAATAAAATTTAGGCCTTGTATGTGTTTGCTCTGAAATGGAAGGTAATTTCATTACTGTTCATGAATACTTTTTGTTTTCTTTTTTTCTAGAACATCTTCCAAAGCTTCAACCCAGACCGTATTCATGCGCCAGGTACTAATATGTAGTCATACCCTAATGTAGCATCCTCTCCCCAGTAGTCTGACGTCCGAATCCATACTGATTGTGAATACGTTCAATGAAAACGTACCCAATTTGTGGATGACGATGCCTCATGTAACAAGGAGTGCAGAGGAACCCAGGGCTCCTGTCCTCCCCACCCTGGGACAGGCAGTGACAAGAGAAGGCTCAGCTGTATGGAGCAGCTCGGCGTCCACTTCCTTCTCCCTCAGTCCTGATGAAGGGGGTGCACTGTCACATCAGCCGCTATGACATACAATAGTGTCACCCCACATGACATACTGTCACTCCACATGCCACCACACACCGTACACCGTCAGGGTTCAGCGTCGCCGCACATGTGCCGCCACACCATGTACACTGTCTCTTCCTCCCTTCACACAGTAACACCGCCACGCCTGTCACACTGTCATGTCACACCGAACACCTCATATCATCACCATATAATGCCACACAGTAACTGTCACATGGTGCACCGTCACACACTGTACACTGCTGCAGCATCCAGCGTCCTACTATATGCCATCGTATGCCGTCCACCCTTACAACAGCACACCGTCACCGTACAGCATCCCACAGTAATGCACGGTCTTAGTGTGCACCCTTACACTGTACAGTCACACACTGTCACACACTGTCACACACTACACAGTGACAGTATGCAGTGTTACTCCTTATGCTACCACAGCATCATGCCATGACTACAACCTCACACATCAGCACACGGTCTCAGCATACACCGTCACACACCGCACACCATACATCACACTGTTACATACACAACACCGTCACACCATTACACCATCACGTCATACCTCTGGACACAGTTACAGTCGTATCGCACACTGTCACAGTGCAGCGTGACACTACAACACCATCATGCCTGATCTCGGCATCCGTCGTCAGCACCTTCACAGTGTCACACACCCTGTCACACCATAGACCTTCACCCCGTTCTGCCACACAGTGTCACACCGTTAGACCCTGTCACACCTACACCGTCACCGCCTTCACTGTCACACAGTGTCACAC